CCCGAAGTACCAAGGGTGAAAGGCCCGGATATCTGGAATATCCAAGCATCGTGGTTTAGGCTCTCACAAGGTAAAATTAAAGTACAGATCTGGGATCTCTGTAGGTCTGGGACCTCAGCGCGCTGCGTGTGAACGAACAGAGGAGTGAATGTGTGAGTGAGTGATATTCTCCAAGGGATACTTTGTGCATCAGTGTCTCAAACAGGAAAAGCCTCCACTCTGTTCACAGAAACCTAACGGTGGCAACTGAAGTGAACTGAGACAGGGAGTGAGAAGTACTGTTTGATTAGATCATTTGCTCGGGTGAACTCCATACAAACTGACTGGCTGATACACGTGTTAGGCAGGGTCAGGATGGACGGAGAATTTGACAGAGAAATTGATGATGGGGGATGGGGCCCATGGAAACCATGGGGAGAGCAAATTGATAATGTGTTATTGGTAACAAGCAACAGAAGCAAACCTAAAGACAAACAAAAGAAGAAAAAGAACAAGCGAAACGGAGAAAAAGATAAGACTGTCAGTCTGCTGCAAAAGAGGAAGTGCAGAGCTGAAGCAGAAAAATGGAAGAGGAGAGAAAGAAGTGGTTCGTGCTGGCTGTAGATGCACAGGCAGTGAGACACTTAGGAAGAGATAAAATAAACACTAAGACGGAAGGGGACAAAGGTATGCCACCACCACCTTACTCAGGTGCCACGGAGCCTACAGCACCCCCGGTAAGTATCTACCCGGTGCTAGAAGACTCTGGAGGTAAGTTTACCATAGAGACTGCAGGAGGATGCCCAACCTCACGAGGTGTCCTGAAGGGCAGAGAGGAAGACGACAACCTCCCCTTTAAAGCCAGGAGGCGTAGGGAGGAGAACACAGGAGGATCTGGACACCGAGGTAAAACATCAAGAGGGAGTGACAGGAGGGAAGAGGTGACTGGACACTTGTCTGGCTCCTGAAGGAGCAACCTCACTCAGAAGAAGAAGATGAGCTGGAAGAAGAGGAACAGGAGGAGGAAGAGGAACGGGATGATAACAAGCCGTTGATAGGCCAGGGTGCTAGAGGATACAGTTCCCCTGAACCCACAGATAGGCCACTACTAGAAGAGAAACTAGGCGACTTATCCAAGAGTCACAGGAGAAGGGAAAGCAAGCACAGCAAGGTAGTAGATGAGCTGGAGAAGGTAAGACGCCAGAAGAGCAACCGACAGATACTCAATCTCCCTTTGCTACAAGGAACAGGAGGGTTTGGGGAAAAATATAAGCCATGGAGCTTAGGTGTTGTACAGGCCGTAGTGGAAAAAATGCCACCTGTAGCTGATGGGGGAGGATTGTGGCTCGACCAGCTAGACATGCTAACAGCAGGACAGAAATTAGCCCTGGGGGACTGGAGAGCTGTAGCAGCCAGATGTCTCCCAGGTCATGTGATAGGGAGATAGAAAGAGAGGGACGACTTGAGGATGTGCCTGATGAGATTCCCTTTACTCGACTAGTGATGGATGTAGGGGCAGCAATGAGAGAACGATTCCCACTACCCAATGCAGCGACAGTGCCCAAACTCCCCTGGAAAACAGACCAAAACCCACGTGATTATTTAGATAAGTGCAAGGAAACCTGGGCCAAACACTGGCTGTCACCCTGGAAAGGGAGGTGTCAGCAAGAGTGGTTCAGGAAGGCTGTATTGGAGGGGGTTCCAAACTCTGTTAAAGAAGCCATGCTGAGCAATCCAGACCTCCCAGGAAGTGAGTCCCAGATTTGGGAGAGACACCTAATACACCACTTGCAGAGAGCCAAAGATCAGGAAGAAGGGAAAGAGAATGAGATTGCGGACGCAGCTACTGAAGCTGCAGCTGGGGAAGGCGAGACAGGAGGTAAATGAAAAAAGAAGGGCCCTACTAAACAGTTGGTGGCTGGAGCTCTGCCCACTGACCCACATACTCCAGATTTATATCCCATCCCACCGTGGGTGGATCCACACCACCCCTCTCAGAATCAAGGGTGGAACCAACGGTCATGGGACCTCCTAGGGGAAAACAGAGGAGGTCGTGGAAGGGGGAGAGGTAGAGGTGGGTTTCAAAGGGAAACACGAGGAGGAGGAGGCTACGGAGGATGTTTCATATGTGGAAACACCTCCCACTGGGCTAGAACTGTGCACAAAATCCTAACAACCAACAAAGAAGTCAGGGAGCTACGCAGAGACCCCACCACGTGATCAAATCTCCAATGACACCGTGCAGGTTGTAGGTTTCTCTGGGGTAGGACAGAAACTGCCAGTGACTGAATCGCTGCCAACACAACTGGGACACCAACGCTTGCTTCACCATTTGTGGTGTCCCCTACAGTCCCTGTAAACCGACTGGGAAGAGATCTCCTGATAAAATTAGGAGCCACCATCTTGTGCAGCGCTGATGGACTAGTAGTTACCCTACCAGATGGAACTCAGTTTTGATGTGGATACCCTCAAACTGGACAATGGTTGTTACAACCCTGCAGGCTCACACAGCTGACATCTATTGGGGCCTCGTGCAACCTGAGACTCCTGAAAAAGGGGGACTGATGAGCTCCTACCTCCTGTGGAAAAAATGGATCACCCTCCTCGAACCCTACACCACACCTCCAGACCCTCCCCATGTGACGCTCTTCTATGACAGACAAGAAACACAATGGTATCAACAGTCATTTGGTGACCTAGTTGAAGGTCACATCTGGCAGATGGGCGTGGCCTCTGCTACCAATCTTACTTCTGAACAGATGGAGAGGTACATGATGGGAGAAGAGGCGGTCCCACATGTCTCACTCGCTTTACATACTAAACATCAAGCAATCAATTTTGTTCTTTTGATATATATTAAATATTAATATATTCAGTCAAATTATTTCAAACCTTGGATACTCATGTGCATGTTTAGCTCAGTTGGTAGAGTGTGGGACTCCCGTTGCAGGAGTTGTAAGATTGATCCTAAAATCCTGCAGACTTTTTTTTCTCCCTTGCTAAATAAATTGATCAGTCTTTTTCACATGCTCACAATAATGCATGTGCCGCAGTGCTTGTACGTCCTGGCGTTTGATCTATGGACGCTTATTTTCATTTCCCTGAGGAAATTCTGGGGAATCCAATCACTCGTTTATGGACGGCTTTTTCAGTGGTGTGTCAAGAAAGCCAAACTCTTTCGAATGTTCTTCAGAACTTTTCAAAGTAAAGGCTCTCAATAAACTCAACAAAAAACGTTCTTGCGTTTTTATTTTGGAGGCACAATCACTTAAGTAATTATGTGAGTGTTGCTGTCACGACTCAGATCTATTTAAGCATCAGCCGCTTTAATTTTTTTATTTTTCTGTTATCAAAGCAATCTGGCCGGCAGAACTGGCCCGCCAACAATATTATCTGGCCCGCGGGCCCCTATTGCCAACCGCTGCCCTAGGGGCTAAGCCCCCCCCTGTCTTTCAATCCTAGTGACGTCCCTGATTTTAGGAAGTGTAGCATGTAGAGATTTTAGATTCATTATAGCCTAACTCCTACTAGGGGGTAAAAGTCAGGATTTCTCGGCCTCTGCTGCTTCGATAGTTATTAGTCCCCCAACTTAACACAAGTATGCATTATTGCAATGCTCTAAACCATCAACTGCTGAGAAACACTGTTTGATGCTGTGGCTGTTCAGGTCTGCAGGTTCAGATGAGTCTAGTACTGAAAAAGGTTAAGTGATTCATTTGAGTATAAAAAGGCTCTAAGATGAAATCAAGGTGGTAACATATTCAATATACGATTGCTTTAAAAGTACAGAATATGATGCACTTTTGATGTCTTCAGCCAATCTTACATGCTGTATATTTATGAAACACCTTGTGTGTAGGTTATTTATTTATTCATGGTTATTTTCATTTCCATCACTGATCATGGGATGTGCTCAGAAGCCTTGATTGAAGTTTATAACAACTGTATTCAAGATCATTTCATTTAACAAAAGGAGCATTTGTTTCTGTAACTGAAGGAACTACAATCAATTTGTAAGGAATATTACATGCAAACACAACTTCTGCTCTTGCTCCTTCACCTGACAAAAACAGGATGTGTTGACAGGTTAATGTGTTGAGGGGACACTCTGTTGACTTCCTGGAAACTCACCCTAAGCATAAACACTATATGCCTAAAACCAACCCTTCCTTAAACCACGATAATATTAAATCATTTTAAGTTGTTGGGATATGCATTTCTTCATAATGTGACTAAACTGATTTTAGTCCCCATATAAGAAATACATTATATCCCTAAACTTCACTAAAAATATGGTTTGGCCTTAAACAGACAGTGTCATAATGACAAAAAAGAGCCATTAAAGTTATTTTGAATGTTTTGTGACGCATGTATCAAAGCAAAAACAAGTCACTCAACAACCTGGACTGAACTTACATAAAATCATTTGACAAAAACATACAATTTGTAAGCAGTGTATAATAAAGAGGATAAATAAAACCACTGTTATTTCAGATCCAATTGAATTGATAAAATTAATTTACTAAGCGTGTGGTGTATATTGATTTAACTCTAAACTCGTCCACATCATGTCAACTTCCTCGGTTTTATGTCGTTTTCAGCCTGCCAGAGACATGAGGCGTGAGACACGAGACGTAAGAAGACAGGTTAAGTGTGACAGGTCACCTCCATTAACCTGGCCTAAATTCCCTCACAGACACAAACAGCTTGAGAGATTTTACAGGCAGGTGTGGTTACCTCTGTGGGCAGCTGGCTACTGCTACTGATCACCTCATTGCTTTCTGAAGGAGAGTTCATATATTAAACATTTGTTTCTGTGCTTGCAAAAGGAACTATTGGAAATTTAGGAGTCTTTCTTTGAGTTGTGGATCACTAACTGTTTGTATGGAATCAGAAGGTGCTCAGCAGACTTTTATCTGCCACATGAAGATTTGACTTTTTTAAGAAAATTGCTGATTCAGAACAAGCAGTCCTCAGTCTGTGCAGAAATACACTCCAATTAGTATCTGATCCTATATGATGTCTGGTTTAGACAAACAAAGTTAGAAGTCTATTACAGTCTTCTTCATTAGGATATTCCCTCTTCTGTCCCTGTCCCCTCTGTCACGGCAGCTCAGGAAGGAAACGCTGTCCTGTAAACACAAAGTGGGGATTTTGTACTAAAAGGACAGTAACTTTGGGAGATGAGCACTTTGTTTGTCTAACTTAGACGACTTAAGCCTCATATTCATTTCATATAAACTTTTTTTAGCAAGGGATCTGTAAATGTCCAGTATGAACAAGATGAATGATACAGCAAATACTTTTGTTTTAAGATAAACCTTTGTCTTTTCCTAACTATTTATTAATAATTTTAAACTTATTATTAATATTTATGGTCTCACAAACTCTCACTCTCACCACACTTCAGACTAGTAAGAGACAAACTGGATAAATGACATACTGCCCTGCTATGAGCACTGTTAGCAACATCATGTGTACAGATTGGTTTCTATTTTACTGCAAAAAACTGTTGTTTTCAAAGTTAATGCATGCCCCAAAACGATGGAGCGCTTTTCATTTAAGATTTTACAACTTCAAAAAGATGTAATTAATGTTCTGGTTAATCAGATTGGAATACAAACTCCATGTCAAAGACTTAAATACAGCTAAAAATACTCTTTATATCCATTTACATTTTTAAAAAAGTGTTTCCAAGCAACTCATCAGGCCAAACACAAGGAGTCTTACTCACTATTTTCCATGCAAGACAAAACAATACAAAACATGTAAAGAAATGTAAAGACTCAGTTTGAAATGACAATAAAATACAAATTCAGAAAATGAGCATAAAAATATTGGCAATAGGTGTGAATGACTTACATTGTAACAGTTGTGATCATATAATAATCAAAACAGTAAAAAAAAAGACAAAGAAAAAAAAACATTGTCCTGAAAAGATGGAAGTGTATTATTAAGTACACTGATCTAAAACTAATGCCGTTCAACACAACTGTCCTGTGATAAATCCTACTTTCATGAAGGTTTTAATGTAACCGTTAGAGAGGTATCTAATATTTAATCTACCTGTCCTTCATTAATATAAGATATAAATGAAATATTGTTGCCTTAATTTTGCACTCTTAACCAATTCTGTCTTGAGGAAAAATTAATGGGCCCATCGAAAGTCCATGCATAAATACAGACCACAGATCCATGTTGTCATCACACTCAGTGGCTTCTATTAACTCTGCTGTACAGGGCAGATACATCCTCCACAGCTGCTTGACGCCTTGTTCTGTGAAGAAATCAATAATTAAAAGAAGAACACTTAACAAGAAACATAAAACCATAAAAAGACACATGCAACAGCAAAAATGTGAGATTAAATTCTCTGACACTTTCAAACTGAATGTGTATTTTATTTAAATTAAACAGCAACAAAGATTGTCCTGTGTGAAGAGCTGCTCACCCTGCGGCACTGTTGAAGATGGGGGTCGCGTAAACAACCTCCTCCTCGTTTCTGAGGGGCTGAGCTGGGCTGAAGTTGGAGTAGAGAGCCTCTGGCTGGTTCCTAACGCACTGTACGCTTGCATACTGAAGTTCATCTGTCTCCTGCCACATAGACAAGAGGACTTTTACATTTTCCATGTACTGCTTACAAGACAAACAGAACTCAAGTGTGACTTAAGGTAGTAAATAAGACTGTTACTGCACTGCAGCATGACAGGACCATGAGTGTGTTCAGCCTAATTTGCTAAACCAAAAACCAAAGTACTGAAGCTTGATACTGAAAATCTGTTTTGTGTTGTAATACCTTGTGCTCACCAGCAGAGGTCAATAGTATTCATATTTTACTTACACTATTATTTACAAGATGACAGTCCTGTCTGTTCATTTTAACAGGGGAACAGTGTGCCAGAAGTATGGCTGGATAAAAGCTGCTTAATTTATTGTGGGAAGGAAAAGTTTTTGAAGTCTTAACAGTCATATGTTGTATATGGTGCCCACATGTACAATAAACAGGTTTTGAGCCATCAGGTTGGGAAACAGATAAAGGAGAGCGTGGTTAATTTGGGTGAAGAAAGTAGTCAAAGAAGGATGTGATGCACCTATGAGTTTTCAGATGACTGAACGCATGTTTTAGTTTGTACCTCTGCTCTGTTGTGTGGTCTCTCACCAGCCTCAGGTTGTTGTTGCAAAGACCTCTCTCTTCTGACAGGAGAATAAATAAAAGAAGCAAATGAATAACTAAACACATTTCTTCAAGCAAACATGACTACAATGCTAAAATGCCCTATGTACATTGAGAGTTATTGTTACAGCAAAATCACGATGAATGTAACAAATAAATCCCTCCCTAAAGTAGTTTCAATGTAAGTGATGGAGGACAAAATCTAAAATCATCATTCTGTGCTAAAACGATGAAGCTAATAAACTTGTCAGTTAGACAAATCAAGTGGGAATCTTCCACAATTAGTTTTTTAATATGGAAGGAAGTCCTGCATCACTTACATTGAAACTGCTTTAAGAGGGGATCTCTTGAGGGTCAGTATTAACAGGAGGAACCATTACAGCTAACTTTAAATGCACATACGAACATGTGACTAGTGCTTTGAGATTGACTTAAAAAATGTGAATATACGTACATTTAATCACAGAGAAAGTGATCTGCTCACCTAATCCACAGGACGACAGAGAGAAGAAGAATGAAGACCAGAACAACAGCACTGACTGATAGAGCAACTGGAAATTTCAATGAACCTGGAAAACAACAATCAAGCACAAACACTGGAAAAGTTTTAGAAATTCTTAATTCCAAAAGCGAATTAGTGATAAATGGAAACTAACAATGGTTAAATGTGTTTTTTGGGATCGTTTTTTTCAAAGTGTAAAAATAATCCTAACTAAAGTTAGCTGAGCTTCTGTAACCCAAGGTGAGCTCAAAGATGTGGCTGTAAACTCTGCAGTTAACAGGTGTGTGAAGGTAAATTATAAAACCTTACCTGCAACAACAATCAGATGTAAGGTGGAGTTATGACGTCCTCTTCTGTTCTGGGCTTCACAGTAATAATTCCCACTGTGTTCAGCTCTGAAGTCAGTGATGGTGAAGTTCTGTCCTGATGCTTTTGGTGAGTCTTCATTCTCCTTGTACCAGGTGTATTTAGCTGCTGGGTTAGCATCACTGCTGCAGGTCAGAGTCACTGAACTGCCCTCCACTATCTCAGCAGAGGGACTCACTGACACAGAGGGAAGCTTTGGAGCATCTGGGGACAAAAGAGAGACAACTTGTCAATATTTCTTTACAGGCCTGTTTTTAGGCATTTTAGGACTTTTTTCCCAGGTCACGTGCAGGCACACGCTTCAGTGAACTAAAATCTTACAATGCTTAATATATCCTTGCTTATTGAACTAATGTCTTCAGTCTGTAGATGATGATAAATCACATTTATTACACCAGTTGATGGGTGCCCCATAACACACAACAACTGTTGTTGTCAGATGGCACCAAGTATTCTAGAAAAAACCTGCCAGAAAGTCAGACCAGCACACAGCAGCAGACCATCATGACCGCTCAAACCAGACCCACACAATGCTGAACCAGAACCAAAGACACTGTCATAATGCAGTCTGCATTATCATCTCTGATTCCTAATTCTTATTATTTTAAGTTTAGTTCAAACTGTCTCAAGTTTCAACTTACTCTTTCTTAGCAAATGTCTCCTTTACTCTTGCTCATATTGACTATGAATGAAATGTAATCTACACTCAGTAAAGCAGTAGTCATACATTGTTGGGGAATTGGGAATTTTTAGGTCTCAGTAATATGAAAAGTATGGTCTACATCTGCTCTACATAAAAAATGCAATGAGATGACTTTTCCTATGAATTGGGCGTTCTATAAATAAAACTGAAACTGAATACGTTTGAAATAACAAACTTGGTTTTTAACATTTACTGTACTTAGCCAAGATTTGATGAAATAATGAACCCTATATTTGCCTTAAAGGAAATGGAATTTTAATTAATTTTTATCAATGTACTGTATATTTATTGTTATGTTGTAACTATTGTTATTTCATCTTGTTTTTCTGTGTACTATGGACCTTCCATTTTGAGTCCTGAATAAAGTAATTATTATTATTATTATTATTATTATTATTATTATATTGATGTCAAAATGTATCTCTACAATAACTAATCCAAAATGATATAGGCAAGTGGTGAAAAGTAGTGTGGACTATCAGCTAGCTAACATCATTGCTCATTTTAGGTAAAATAAAACTTAATTACGAAACTCAGAAGTAGGAACGTTAAGTGTATTAAAGAAGCATCAACCTTCAGTGTCTCCATTAGCGTTTGAAGCCCTGGACTGGAGCAGCTGCCGTTAGGAGTGATGTGGGCAGAAATATTTTCAAGTTTGGCAAGTGCAAGTTCATTTCAACTTACATGGCTTTACTTAGAGGGGAGCTGTGTGCAATGTCCATTTGGTTGGAAAGCACTAGTGACATCACATCTTTCAACACAGTGTCAGGCATGTTGAGAAACAGGTGATTGACCTCCTGTGGTTTTCTACACACAACTGGCAAGATATTAAACTCACGTTTTTCAAGCCTTACTGTGAAATGATTGAAGAGCTGTATAGTGGCCACCTTCAGGATGAATCCTAAATCAAATCTGTCAAACAATAATCCAAAGAATAAAATATAATCATAATGAAATAAAAATATGTCCTCTAAAGAATCACATTGTGTCGAGGAGATTATTATAGGGAGTTTTCCATTATTATGTTTCTATACAATTTCAGAAAGACCGTTTGTTACACACAGACCTGAAATCTAAATTCAGTTTAAAAGAGGATGAGAAGTACTGATGATTGGATGTAACTGAGGCCTGCTCCAACTCCACCTGCTGTTTCTGTTCCTCCTGCTAATAAAGTGTTCACTCTCTCTTCCACGTTGACAGCACTGTGTCCAGATTGCACTACTGCTAAGATTTTCTCCCGCAAAGATTCATTTAATAAGCTGTTTGTTATTTTTAAACTGTTCCACTCACATTTCACATTAATGATGTATTTAGTTGTCTTCCTCCCCAGCTGGTTCTCAGCTGCACAGTAATACTCTCCAGAGTCAGAGGACTGGATGGAGCTGAAGACAAGCTGTGGTTCTTCACTGAGCAGAGTTTGGTTCTCCTTGTACCAGGTGTATTTAGCTGCTGGGTTAGCATCACTGCTGCAGGTCAGAGTCACTGAACTGCCCTCCACTATCTCAGCAGAGGGACTCACTGACACAGAGGGAAGCTTCAGAGCA